CTACAAATAGCACGTGCTTATATTATGGTTCCTAGCCAAAGTCAGAAAACATCGAGCTGCACAGAAAACAGTCGGAGCCAAAGCTAAGGTGGCGAAGTCGTTGAACTGCGTGGTCGTCTGCTCCTCCACTTGGCAACCTCCGCAGACGTCCTGAAGTGGGGCTAACCCAAAGACCATGGACTCAAAACCGTAATCCGAGACTGAACGTAGACCTGTATGCAACGATGCTTCTCGAGTTCTCAAAGCTGAAATAAGCTGAACATTCCACCTTAGGCCTGATAATGTCATAACTGCAGAATGGGCTGACATTGCAGCAAGCTGGATTGATGTCGAGAAGATTGCACAGAAGTGTCCTTGAGCAGCTTCTTGTACCTCGGCTGGGCTGGTTTCGACCTCCTCTACCCTCGCCCTCCCTCCCCGCCTCTCTCCCCTCCCCTCTCCTCCACTCTGTCCGATAATGTCCCTCTCGCTTGTATTTGGTGTTGTCGGTTTGTGCCAGAAGAGCGTGGTAATACAGAGGGGTTCTCTCCGGTGTGGCTTTCAAGCAGTATCGGCTTCGAAGGGCCATAATGCCACGTGGTAGTTGCTTACTGGCATCAGCCAGGTTGGAAGGAATTTAGAACATAACGGTCTGAACGGTCTCGCAAACTGGATGTGCAAGACCAGGATGAAGGTGAACCCTGTGAGCCGCAGTCCGTGTACAGAAGCTAAAATACAGAAGCTAAAATGCCGAATGCCTAGGAATCATGGTCTGGACTGGGCATAGGGGCTGCATGGGATGATACCAAGAGCATACGGAATAGATGCTGTAGGATACTGGAACACTCAGCAAGGCCAACGGCGAAAAATGAGACACGGCTGATATAAACTGAAAGCACAAGCAGTATTGGGCGTTTGGCTTCATCTCCAGGTATATACTTAACACTCTCAAGAGGATGAGGACTACATGTCCTAAGATGCACTTTTGTATATACATATATATATATATATATATATGTATATGTATGCAAATCTATATATGCGTGCGTGTCGGGAGATAGATATGCGTGTGTGCATGCGCACATATTATAGGTTTGTATATGTCGTTACCCAGAGAACCAACATGCAGCGTTTGCAACACGTGTGACTTGTAAGTTTGGGACGAGCGTTTCAACCAAATCATCGGAAGGAACACAGCGCCCAAATGCCCGAGTCAATTGGATAAACGAGCATCTAGGCACTTTGGTGCAGTCGTAATTTTTTGGAATCGGCCATCCGCTTAAAGTCGACCCATGCAGTGCAAGCTACACTGACTACATGTACTCACTCCATTCAAGAGGGCAGAACCATACATGTGAAATCTGCATGCGGCACGAGACTGTTTGAACTAACTGGAGCGGAAGAGTACAAGCTTCTGGGCAGTGCTTAACAAAGCAAAACACAAGCCCGCAACACGATCGCGGTGTATTCCTCTTGTGCAATTTTGCACTGTGAAGTATCAAAACGTACCGAGGGCTCCCTAGCGCGGATTTTGACGGGAATCTATCAAGTTGTGCATGCTTTCACCTGCGAGTCTGCAAGCATGCATTGCCAGCATGATGCCACGGTGGGCCGCGCGTGTAGTTTTTCCATTACGCAGCTTCTCGCTTTCTCGATTGAGCACGACAGCTTCTTGGGTTAGTCTCCAGACAAGGTCCGCAAGGAGCACAACGAAAACGCTGGTTTGTTAGTGGGATGACCGTATTTCAAGGAGGATTTGCTGAGCAAAGATATTGAGTTTGTGTTGGACACAAAAACAATGCAATTCTCCTGAGCTGATAAGCTTTGGGCCAGGAGTCCAGCATTAACAGGGTTCGGCAACTTGGCCTTGACTTATAAACTTCGCATGGGGACCAATAAGTGCCGGAGGTGCAGACATGCTGGGGCGGAATACTATATAGACATATACACATACACTACACAGCCCATGTGCATATATATATATATATATATACACATAAGTACATACATGTACAGAGCTAGATCTAGATGAAATTCTGAATGCAGTCATGCGTAGATAGATAGTCCAAGATCTGAATACAGGTTGAATAAGGGAAATAAACTTTGAGGGAATAATGTAGATATGGATACAGCTAAACATCAAGGTTTAGGTATTGGTACCGGTATAGGTACGAGTATACATACGTATGCAGCTACGTATATTATACATAGAACTTTAGTTACAAGTACAGGCTTAGACATACATACTGTGTAGACACAGAAACGGCTTTAAGTTTAGATATAGGTACAGGCGCAGATATACAAAGGAATTTCGGCTTACAATTCATAACTGCATACATACTCTCATACATCGACTCTCCACCAGTCTTCGAGTTGTGGGTGCTCGTATTCCGACCCTGTGCCTATTCATGCTTACGAACAAACAGAACATTGACACCGCACCATAGGCCGAGCAGCATGGCTAAGATTGACTCATATGGGGGCGAAGTCGGCTGATGTACGATGGTGACCTTCGAAGACTACTTTGGGGCTGTTTTGGGGTTAAAACTTTGTTCGCAAATTGGAGCCCTGTAGCTGGAGAGGCTGATGTTACGGGGGTCGGGTGATCACGAATCATATGAAGTGGTTGAACACCTACACGCCCCTCAACTCAAATCAAAAACCATCATCAAAAACAAGACGACGACAATGGCCGTACTAACAATAGCAACAGCATTGGTGAAACAGCAACTGTTGATGGAGGAAATCTTGCACCAGTTTAAGTGGCCAAGCCAAGCAGACACCCCACGCCCCCTTTTTAACATTGACCGGTGATCCTCGGAAGTGCCGTGGGTTCCAATGACAAAAATCTTGCACCCTAAACCCTAAGCCCTAAACCCTAAACCGTGTTGACCGGTGATCCTCGGAAGTGCCGTGGGTTCCAATGACAAAAATCTTGCACCACCTCCGTATCCATCATCTTCAATGTTAAACAGGGGGTGGGGGATTATGCTCAAGTGTCGTGTCACCTGTTACTAGGCAGATGGTGCAAGATTTCCACCATCAACCGACAGGATCCTTCTTGCTGAGATGACCAAAGTAGCCTGTGTCTTTACTCGATTGTACCACGCTTCCTGTGACGGGTACCATCCACATGCAGACCAAGCCCGATACATGTCCAAGAATGCGATACGGCAAGCTTAATTACGGCCCAAGACCACGCAAGCCGACTGTGGTTGCAGGCTTCCAGGATGCGACTTTTTTTGCACCCTGACCCGGGTGCTCCACTTCGATCCAAGTCTGCTCCATGCAGCTCCGCGGCACTCCGGTGGGACTCCCACTGGCGAGCTCCTCCTGTATTCTGGCTTAGTGTAAATTCCTTACATTTCCCACAGTTAACGCTCCGTTAACACTCAGTTAACACTACAGTTAACACTACAGTTAACACTGCCGAAATGCTGGGAAAGCCAGCATTTTCTTCAAATGTGTGTAAAAGACACTAAAACTAGCAGTTTTTCTTTTTAAAATGCGTGTATTCTGCAAAATGCTGGTTTTTGCGGCATTTCGGCAGTGTTAACTGTAGTGTTAACTGTAGTGTTAACTGAGTGTTAACTGAGTGTTAACTGTAGAAAAGGCACACTATGCAGTTAACACTTATTACTCTGCCGAAATGCAAGGAAAACCTGCGTTTCCTAAAATCTGTCTTACAAGTACCTCGGTCCTTGACACACAGTGACACACCGACACACATGGTGAGATGGTGAGGGATCGATATTGTGGCTTGTCATCACTTGCATATTGCTTACTGTGACAACAGTTTAAGGTACTGTTGATGGAGGAAATCTTGCACCAGTTTAAGTGGCCAAGCCAAGCAGACACCCCACGCCCCCTTTTTAACATTGACCGGTGATCCTCGGAAGTGCCGTGGGTTCCAATGACAAAAATCTTGCACCCTAAACCCTAAACCCTAAACCCTAAACCGTGTTGACCGGTGATCCTCGGAAGTGCCGTGGGTTCCAATGACAAAAATCGTGCACCACCTCCGTATCCATCATCTTCAATGTTAAACAGGGGGTGGGGGATTATGCTCAAGTGTCGTGTCACCTGTTACTAGGCAGATGGTGCAAGATTTCCTCCATCAACCGAAGGATTCGCATTGTGAGGAACACGACATGTCCAAACAATGGCAAGCATGAGAAGCCAAAGGAACAGGCCCTAAACGTTGCATTTCTTGCCTGGCCTTCTGGGCTGGGTCCTTGGGAAGTCGTCCTTCAAAGAATGATCTCCCTGGCCAGGACATCTGCTGGTGGCCGAGCTCCCATCTCAAGTGCACCACCACATCCTTACGATCCAAGCTTCGAGTTCAACAATCTGGGCTTAGTGTGCTGGTTGCTCAGATGGCTCACGGTTGCTTCCCGAAGGACGAATCCTAGGCCTTGAACTTAAGACCCTATCGTATATCCAAGACTACACCAAACCGCAGGTCATACATCAAAACATACGCCCAAGCATCTGTCAGGGAATATGCTTGGGGAAGGGCTGCATGCTCCTTCTGGCTGTACGTCTGGAGAGCCTCCTGGGAGTTTGGACAGGGACCGCAGCTCCTTCTCAGTGATTTCTCTATCGGGCCCCGTCTACCAAGGATTCTGTGTTTTGCGGTAGGCTTTTGGAAACTCCCTCCTGGGTTTCCTTGATGATCAAGCCTCGGACACGCGTCCATGAGCCTACGCACTTGTGTGGAAACATGGGAGACTGGCACCTCGGCTGGTCTTGTACGGCTTTCAGAAAAAATTGCCAGGCACTTTCTTTTAACTCAATGACAATTACTGAGATGTTCCAACAAAAAAGAACCAAAAATAATGGGGCCCAGACTTTGCGTCGCAAATCTGCTGGAGGGCCTTCCAGTCCTTGTATTCTGCAGCGGGAGGCGCTTGCTCTGGAAGGTATCGGAGCCATGTCCCTTTCCACGTGGCGATGTTGGAAGTCCTGACAAGAAGAGGGTAAAAGGGTATGATGTCTCCGGATATACAATTCAAGGTTAACGACTGAAAGCTCCGTCAGTGCAAAAGGCTCGAAACAGATGTCTGGAGATCCACCACGCATCGTTTTCGAAAAGGCTTCAATGTCACATGTAAGCAGCAGCAGCAGCTGTTGTTGGCATGAGCAGTGGCAGTGGCCGTGGCAGTAGTGGTAGTGGCAGCAGTAGCAAGAGCAGTAACAGTAGTAATTGTAGTAGTCGTCGTCGTCGTCGTAGTACGTAGTACGCAGGCGCCCCCCCTCCTACCAACCACCTCTCCTAAACACGGTTAAAGAGCACATCTATGTTACTCGGTATTACTTTCGTGATGTCGTAAGCCAATACCAGCCACCACTGTTGAGAGGAGTAGGAGTAGTACTAGTAGTACTAGTAGTAGTAGTAGTAGTAGTAGTAGTAGTAGTAGTAGTAGTAGTAGTAGTAGTAGTAGTAGTAGTACAAGTAGTACTAGTAGTACTACTAGTACTAGTAGTACTAGTAGTACTAGTAGTACTAGTAGTACTAGTAGTACTAGTAGTAGTAGGAGTAGTAGTAGTAGTAGTAGTAGTAGTAGTAGTAGTAGTAGTAGTAGTAGTAGTAGTAGTACTAGTACTAGTAGTAGTAGTACTAGTAGTAATTAGTAGTAGTAGCAGTAGTAGTAGTAGTCGTAGTAGTAGTAGTAGTAGTAGTAGTAGTAGTAGTAGTAGTAGTAGTAGCGGTAGTAGTAGCAGGAGCAGTAGTAATAGTGGAAGAAGAAGGTCGTAGTAGTAGTAGTAGGAGGAGGAGGAGTAGTAGTAGTAGTGGTAGTAGTAGCAGTAGTAGATTGTGTTTCAGTTGTAGTTGTCGTAGTTGTTGCTGTCGTCGTAGAAGTAGTCGCAGTCGTACTGTAGGAGTGGTAACAGCAACCAAAAAGGCAAAATCACATAACTGCCGTCGGAAGTAGCGACGTGAGCCTAAGCCAGCAAGGTTCCAATTTTTTTGCTTTCCTAGGTCCTCCCCAAATTCCAACGGGTCAAGCCAAAGACACCCTGAACCTCGAACCGCCTGCTAGTTCGGGGGTCCTGAAAGACTTTCCCCAGAGAGCCGCCTTGGCGCGAACCTCCCAAAACTCTGAGAGCAAGTTCCCCCAGTTGTGGGAGCTCCAAGCCGAATACGCCTGGGCAAAGTCTATCTTCGTTCGGGGGTAGGTGGCCCGGTTAAAGGGTGTCTTCGAAGTCACTGTCATCGATTTGTGGCCACAGCATCGTTAGTTTTTGTCAAGTGGGTCTTCCATTTCGGTATTATGGATGGCATGTGGCCATGGAGCTTCACAGCTTCAAGCTAAGTTCTTCTTACCGCGAGTCTGTTCGGGGGAAGTCGGCATTGTGGGCTCTGAAGTTGGCAGGCGTGCGCTTCGAGATGTTGCCATGGAGTTCGTAGGAGCACTTCGGAATGGACTGCACACGCATACTGGCTCAAAGTACCCAACCCTCGACCCCACCCACCCCCCCGGAGCTTCCACTGAAACTTGGACCCTGACCGTAAACCCTGCATCCGAGTCCTTGCACCTGCGCCCTGGTCAACCTATATACCCTGAACCAGACAAAAGGCTCCCAATCCTAAATGCTTAAACCCGAACACCAAGGTGAACCCGCGAAACCCTGCCGTACAGTGGGCTCGTTCGGCTTGGGAGCTATCTCATCGCCTCTCTCGGCGCCTCCGCAGCTTCAGAGTAAGGTCTGGGATAGGGTAAACTAGGCAGAAGGCCACTTACCAGCCCGATTGCCAAGTGCTCGTCCGAACAAGCCTCTAAAGCGGTGTGAAACATGGCCAAATAAAGCACTCAAAGAGAAGTTCGAATCTTAAGAAGCTCTCGTATGGATGTGAAAAAGCCTTACGGAGTGGCTACTGTCCTCTATTATACGACCAGACCTCTAAACACAAGCTAGTACTGGTCTTTCGGGGCTGTCATTCAGAACCATGCTACCAATCCTGATGCCTATGTTCATAGCAGTCTGAGCTATTTGAACCTGATTGGTGCAAGTCGTGGTCATTGTTCAGGAAGGTTCAGGACATGGGAACGTCCTGCAGTGCAATCCCTGAACTCCTATAGCGCTACATCCCCCTGCAGAGGCTAGCCCCAGAAGCAAACATCCTTCCAGCACGAACATGCCACGTTCACGACCGCGATATTCCGCTGCCTCGAAAAATGCGGCAACTCGGTCTCGCCGCTGGCTGCTGTATCAGGGATGTGTCGTCGGATCTGCAGTCACAGCCGAGGTGGAGGCTTTCGAGGTCGGATTTTGTTGTCTACCGTTGAGGGCCGTGGGTTCGGTTTTTGGGCTCAGTATGGGTCAGCGTTTAGGACGAAACTGCTGCAGCAATGGCTGTAGTGGAATTGAAGCCGTTGCGTCCGTTGCAGTAGCGATGATGAGATTGGCAGTGGCACGAGCAACAGTACGAGTACATGCAGGTCTCCGTGCAAAAACATGCTGAAGATATCCGATAATGATACGAGCTAGCCGACAGAAATAAACTGCAGACGAACTAGCGCGCTAGCTCGTATTGCGATCGTAGCGACTAACACCGTCAGCAATGCTACACTAATGCTTCCCTGGTGAACAGAGACCGCTGCATCCCTTGCCTTGTCATCATTACCGCCATCGCCATTGCAATCGTCATCATCATCATCTTCATCAGCTTCATCAGCACGATGAGCATCATCAGCGCAAGCCTCATGGGCATCATCATCAACAACATCATCATCATCATTATCGTCAGCACCACGGCCATCTTAGCATCTGAGTTGATCCTCATCACAACCACACTCACCATCGCGATCACAGATGGTCTTGTTAAGCTTGTGTGTAGCTCGTAATGCTCGCACTGCAATCAACACCAGCACCACTGCCGCTGTCGCCAACGCCACCAGCACACTGCCTCCGTCACTATCCCGACTACCTCGACATAAACACCATCATGTCGTGCACGAGCATTGTAACCTCAATTGTCACCATCCTCGTCCACGGCATTTTCATTGCGGCCCAAGCCACGCAACATCACGAACACCCGAATTAATGTTGAAAAAGCGGTGTAAGCATCATTGCCACGAACATGTTAAACTGTTAATCATGTTAATCATGATAAATACCGTCTGTGTGTGTGTGTGTGTGTTTGTCTGGCTGTTCGTTTGTTGTCGCTCCCTGTTCTTGTTTGTTATGTGTGTGTGTGTGCTTGGGATTTGAAAAAACAATGAAAAGCAGCTCCCTTGTCCGGGGTCCCTGGTACTTAAACAAATTCGGTTTGGGGGGCTGTGCTTTCAAAGCGCTTTGAAAGCGCGCCTGGATCCAAGATCACCGGTTTTCTGGGCATCTTGGATCTTGGATCCAAGGGCGCTTTCAAAGCGCTTTGAAACTGCTACTACTCTGCATCGACTAGTAGTAGGAGTAGTAGTAGTAGCAGTAGCAGTAGTTGTAGCAGTAGTACTACTACTACGACTACTACTACTACTACTACTACTGCTACTACTACTACAACTGCTACTACGACCATAACAGTCCCGACCCCTTACAACCGAAGCTGTTCTCATCCGACCTCTCAGCAAGAATTTGCCCGACGGCCAGGGCGGCCAGAGCCACGCGCAGAGCCGAGGCCAAGGACATGGCACCGTCTACGAAGCAGCCTGCTGCAAGTAACGGAGAGATTCGGTCAAGGCCTTGAGCCACACGCTTTGGACCCCGGAGTTTGGGTGTTCAAGGCTCAAGTAGATTTCGGGCTTCCCGTCAGCCAATGAGGCTGCAATGCGGCATGCTTGGTGCAACTGGATTCATCAGCAGAGCCCAACCCTGACCCCCAACATCCATGTGGCACCAGCGCATCAAGCCCAAAGCCAGTTTCACAACAACCGCCAAAACCCTGACGCCTGAATAAGTTGTTGAGGCGCTTGAGGCCAAGGCCACCGCAAAGCTCAAAACACACAAAGAACCACAGTCATCACTCGTCTTTTGGAACCTAAGACTCGTATATTTATCTACAGCCCGAAAGTTGTGAGCCTAGAAACCTTAACTCCAAAAACGATCCAAAACCATACGAACCGCCCTCGAACACGATTAATTTGCTTGTTCCTTCGGGTTCAAGCCCCGAGCCTCTAGACCCGAGCTCTGAAGCGACGCCTGGGTCAAGATGCACATCAGCGGATGCTGGGCTCGTAATGCTCGGCAGGATCGAAGCGCCAACCGCTCCGGCCAACACGCGTGTCACGTGTTTGCAAAATGTAGATTCACGCGCAAACAACGAGCAGGCTGTTTCAACACCACATGCGCAATGTTTTGCATGAAACGTTCTAGACACAGGCAAGGAGCAGCTTCCAGACAAAGTGCAAGGACTAGCTCAGATATCCTAGGGTACTGCATGTGCCAGGCTAGAATCACCCAAAATCACGTCAGGTCCAGTGCCGATGCCTCCAACTTCAGCAGGGCGTCACCAACATCATCCGGAGAACCCTCTCTGGCAGGAAAGGCACCGCCACTGGATCGGCACAGGATGGCACAGGCCTCGATCCGCTGCAGAGACTTCAGCTGAACCATCGTTATCGTCTGCACTGTCCAAGGTCACGACAGATCCTTCCGCCCAACATGATGGCACGAGCACCAGGCTTGGATCTGGCGCGCATGTTTCGGCTGATGCGCTCCAAGTCGCATCAGAACGTCGACACAATCGGCGGCAAAAGCAGCAGCACGCGTTTGGATCTGATGCACTGTCTTCAGCTGATCTGGTTCAGAACCGTCACCGCAGCAGCTCTTCTAGCACTGAGCTTAATGTGTCGCGATAAGTCAATAAGTCATCAGGCAGCGGCAGCCAATACTACCTAAGGTAGCCGGGGCCCCAGATCCGACACCTGCTTCCGCCCTGAAGCCCTTTGCGTCGGCTCGCCATGGGGTTTGCAAGGGTTTATCTATCGAATAGTGCGGCCCTCTGGGACTGTAGCGACATCGAGTGCTTTGAAGGCCAACATGCTTTCTGTCTGCGAGCGGCACGGTGGTTGCAGTGCTGCGATTCATCAATATCGGGAGCGCCTACAGTAAGTCTTGCGCCTTGGGCGTTCGACTGAACTCTGCATCGGCCTACATTTGGACCACGGTGGAACGGTGGAATTGGAAAGAACGCGATGCTAGTCGAAAATGTGGAGACGTGGCACCGGCGAGCGCGCCTCGTGCTCAAAGCGAACCCTTGCAGTCTTGAAGTCGCGCATAGAACCCACAGTGCAGGAGCTGAATCTCCAACACACCCACACACACACACAAAAGCACACACACACACAGACATGGTAACCAGTACGTCTTCAGCAGGCTGCAAGCAGCCTTTGGAGGACCGCGCCCAGCATCTTGGCACACTTTTCAAGCTGAAGATAAGCGATGCTCCGAGGCTTGCCCACGGGCTCGGGTGAAGCAACAACTCACCTAAAGCTGAAAGACCAGCGGACATGCTTGGGATGTCGGGCCGTCCTTAGGCCTTTGGGACTTCGCGGGCTCTAAATGTTCTAGAAACACGGGTTGCCGGGTGGCACATGTAGTCCTTAGTTACTGGTAAGAGCATCGCAGCTCAGCTCATGCATGCTATGAACAGCGTACGCGTAGACCTTCAACTGTGTTCTACCTACCACCTTTTGCGAAGCTTTGTGATTCTGCCAATAAGACTGCATCAGGTGGATTTCCACATCTCTCAGCAGCCGCTGCTGACGTCCAGAAAAAGCTGTTTACACCGCAACGAACTTCCCCTTTCCATCGCCCCGCGTGCAGGATACGGTTTTGTAGAATTAACTAGGCTCGTTTCACGTGCTCGAGATGACTGCCCTCCGGCATTCTGGAAGCCGGTCACACACAAGCATAAGCCGCTACAGTCCATTCTAGCTTTCTGCTTCACGCAGCACCAGCGCAGCGCTGGGAACCAAGTCCAGCTCCTGCTTTGGAACATTTGGACAGATTCTGCTCAGATTTTGTCATAACATTCGAAAGTTCCCCAACAACATAATATGTAACACTGCATCTTACAGCCGACTCTTCGGTCAGAGGTCACAGTTGCATAGGTGCTTACAAGACCTGTGTCCTTTCCGGGGTCGAGACATTTACCCCGAGGCTGCCCAAGCAGCAGCTACTAGTCTATTTCGCAGGTATACAGAAGCGCGACTGCGTCTAATTAACCTTTTAGCCTGCCTTCATTTCCAGTTTTCTCGCACACACACAGGGAGGCGATGCCCGACAAACACCCCCTCTGGTCCTGGAGAGTGGCTGACCTTAGTGGCTCAGCACTGCCCAGCTTAACGAATTGAAAGTTCTGTGTAGAGCTTTATGTAGTATTCCAGCAAGGTTACTGGATCTCGAGCTGGCCCGAATCAACAATCACAAATTTGGAGCTGTCCGTGTGCAGCTGAGGCGGACATGACGGGTTGAACCGACGAAGACGGACAACAACTAACCAATCTGTCGGCAAAGATTTCCAAATTCCGCTTGCAAGCAATGAGCAAATTGTAGTTGCACTGGCACATAGTCTCCCGATACATGCCGGACGCAAAGCATGGATGTGTGGTGTTGGGATGTTTGCCTTCGGGTTGATAGAATCCGTTGTCTTGCGTGGTGTAGTGTGGTGTCGTCTCGTATCGCGTCGTGTTTGTGCTTGTGTGCCTGCGTGCACAGGGATCCCGCAGTGGATAATTCGTGGGACTACATGAAACAGTACGGATAACTGATGGGCTTACATGACACATATACAGAATCAGTAGGAATCTGAAGAAGAGGATGTAACATGATGTAACCATCCAGCAGCTACAACACCCATCCATATAAGGATTGAGGAGGATGATTGGTCTGCAAGTGCGCGCATGCATGTGTGTGTAATTGTCTATTTGTTTGTTTGCTTGTGCATGAGCTTGTTGCTCGGTCGTGTGTTGGGCATTGTGCATTGCTTGATGCATGGTGCGTGTGGTGCCTGAGTGTGAGTGTCTGACTGTGTGTTTTTATGTGCCCAGGCGAGTGTGCGACTGTTTGCGTGCGTGCTGCATATGTGGGTGGGTGCTGCGTGTCTGTGTGTCTGCGTGTCTGTGTGTGTGTGTGTGCGTATGACTCTCTGTCTCTCTGTCTGTCTGCCTGTCTGTCTGTTAGTCTCTCTGGTGTGCATGCGCAGCGGTCTGTGTGTGATGTCGCTCTCTATCCCCCCGCTGCTCTTTATCTATCCACCTACCTATCTGCCTGCCTACCGACCTGTCGAACTGTCGACCTATGCTGCTACATCAATCAATCAATCTCTCTCTCTCTCTCTCTCTCTCTCTGTCGCTCTTTCTCCCTCTCTCTCTCTCTCTCTCTCTCTCTCTATATGTATATACATATTTGTATATCCTCGATCTCTATTTCTCTCTATTTCTCGATGTCTTTATATCTCTGTCTATCTCACTAACTGACTTCCTGGCAACCGAGCTACCTAGCTGGACCACTTCCTCGCAACCAAGCTACCTAGCTGGACCACCAGACTACCTAATTGACTGGCTGGCAGACTGACTGACACACTCAATCACCCACCCCCCCCCCGTTGACAGACCATGCCCTTTCAATTCAGTCGTAGTAAATGGTCTGTGATCGGGGGGAGGGGGCACTCAGCTTTCAAAAGCTCAATTCCAAAATTTCCAAAATTCTATCCCCTAACTTTCCAGATTTCCAAAAAGTCCGCCCTTATGTTTAGGAAAAATCCTGTCGACTAGGTCGGTAAATTTTGGAAATTGTGGAAATTTCGGAAATTGTGGAAATTTTGGAATTTTTGGAAATTTGGGAATTTTGGAAATTTTGGAATTTTGGATATTTTGGAATCTCTGGACCTTGGAACTGATTCTCAGGAGGGCTGATTGTGACCCATCCGATGACAGACCATGCGCTACGACTTACTTGCAAAGGCAAGGGCTGTCAATACTCATGCCCATATTTAGACGAATATCTCTCTATCTATCTGTCTATCTATATATACATATATGTATTGATACTCCTACATATAGCCATTGCTAATACTGACATTGATCATTTGTTGAATGCTCACGCTAATACCAGCATTACTACTAATAGTACACTTCTATAAAGCTTAGTACAAATATGCATAACACAAATACTAATATTGATTAGTATTGCTATGAGTACTCCTACGCATATCAAAAATCATGTTCATATTGATAATAGTGCATATAATTAATACCAATACTAACACACACCTGTATGTACTAATGTACATAAATATGCATACCACTATATTGAAATACAAATCCTTTAACTCACTCATGTATTCAACTGTTAGAATTCACGTGATCAAGAGTAATAATAATACAAACATTCTTGTGAATGTAGAACATCAATAATATTATAGTACTAACGCTAACACTACTGCTAATACTTAACACAAAATTTATACTAACATCAATATTTACATAGCTATTGATACTCCTACGAATACGAATACGTAAGTAAACTCTTGTGCGTTAACAGTAGTGCTATCACCAACACTAATACGGACTTTGATAATCTGCTGAATATTCAAGAATGCCACTAGTATTACCAGCATGAACACTCATATTATGGCTAATACGAGTATAGATAGTCCTAATTCTAATAATATTGACGTTAATACTCCTACGGATACCAATAGTATATTCATATTGATATGAAAACCAATATCATTACTAATAGACACCTGCATATACTAATGTACAGAAAATACATACCATTATCTTAAGATACAGATATATACATCAGTGCATTCATGTATTAATGCTTTGGCATGGGCATATACCCATATACCAATGTAACAATATACTTCTCGTCGTTGTATGATTATACTATACGAATATGTGACTATACTCATATACGACTACTGCGCTATGCAAGAATACCGACATGACAAGTTCGTATACTAATATGCCAACATACTGATATACTTGTAAATGATTAGATAAAATAGTAATATAGTACACATACTCGTATACTAATATGCTAACGTACGAATATACTGGTACGTCAATATACTAGTAAGCTAATACAGCAATATAGTAATGTATTCATGCACCAGTTGTACTAACATGTAAAATATACTAGTATACAAGTATGCAGATATTTTACTGTTCGAATACATTGATGTATTGATATACTAATCTGCTGATATACGAGACTATCAATATACTAACATATCGAAACTAACTATTTCTATTATTGATACTAATACTGGCACTTCTGCGAATAGAAGCTGCTGTTCAACCCAGCATTAAGATACTGATACTACTCGTAGCAGTGGTGCTGTATTACTGACATTGACACTGGCACTAGCGCTAACTCTAACACGAACATGAGCACTAAAACTAATTTATAGTTGGCAATATTGATATGTATACTTACAGCAAACAATAGTACTAATATTAATAATAATACTCACCCTGATACCGACGCTACCACAAGACTATTACGTAACTCATGTGCCGCACGTCTGGTGCTATACTCTGTACCTCATGTACAGGTTTTGCTTCATAGAATATCGTCCTGCCCGGTGCTTTTTAGACCCGCGGTCTGCCAATGGGGGGGTGAGCATATACATATATATATATATATATGTGTATATATGTATATGTATATGGATGTCCATATTTAAATATATATATATATATATATATACACATGTATGCAAATTGTTGCATCTGTGTGTGTGTGTGTTTGTATGTATGTATGCATGTATGTATGTGTGTATGTTCTACGAAGGAAGGTGCGTGGGCCCTGTTTCCACACACAATGAATGCAAGTACCGAAGCATGCATGTATGCCCACGATCGTCTGGGGCTCAGGTCCCGAACATGCCATCAACACGTCTAGGCTCAAGGATCAATCAATACCTCAAGTCCTCCAGGACCCTGGCCGTTCTGTCAGAGTTCTGGCCGGAAAGCTGATGCAAAGCCTGAGTTCAAAGCAAAACAGCGCGCAACACCTCGACTTAGAAAATCGAATGTTAAAACGATTGAAGCTGAAGGTTCATCTCGATCAACCACATCTCAAAATCAATGTCACCCTCATGTATGTGAACGTCTCCTCCAATCAGACAACCTGCTTCGAAACAGTTGCTTGCGTGTGCATCTTGGATGGCCTGCCCCCGAGCATGCTAGCACCCGGTACTGTGGGAAGGGCAAGTAACAGGGTAGGTGCATATCATCACAACGACGCACTTGGGCTGGGTCTGCCCCCTGCAATGCCTGAAGTCCTGCCAACTGGGCACAGAGCCTGACAGAGTCTTTGGTTTTTCCGCTGCCCAAATCCGATCGCCTACCGCCACTTCGAAACGAGAGCCCAGCATCTCGAAGCTGCTTCGAAACAAACATCAAGGCCTAGTGGACGCAGCGTTGCCAGCTGAAGGACTCTGGGAAATCCACTTCCAGACCAAGTTGCTCGAAGCGCTTCGGCTTTGCTTGAGGGCGGCAGCAGTGGGCCCAGTCGTAAACCTCGCAGTGTAGAAGTATCTGCAGATAGTTGATCCTTTGTCAACTTAGCTCCAAAGAGAAACATGAATCGGGATTGTTTCGCACATCCTTCCGAAATCCCAACGGATGCGTACGCTGTGGTGGTTTGCGTCTTTATTGCAGCGTCTTCTTGCGACGGTTGGATTGTCGGTCTATCGAGATTTGCTGATGTATAATCTGTATATGTATACTTATTTATATACGCATATACATATATTATATGCATAAAACTTAAACTAATCTCACCTTGTCTTACCCCATACGATACACTACACAATGCAAATAGTACTGTCGCAGTAGCATGCATGATCATCTCTTCCTCTACTTATTCAAACCACCCCCGAAAGTACAAGGGGAACATTTGGATCAATTAGGAAGACACCAGGGCTCGCCGCGGGGTTGAGGATTGGAGATTTATAAAATAATAACTACTTGCTTCACCTGTATCGAGTCAGTCTCTCTCTCTCTCTCTCCTGCAGAGTCTCTGTTTAGGGACTATCCCAGCATCCGAAACCTTACGATTGCAAGAGCGAGTGTGTTCTGGAACTCACAGTTCACAGGGTTCTGACCTGCAGGCAGCAGGGGCCGCATGGATGTGGGATTGCAAGCACTGCACGTGAACTGCAGGCGGCAGCAACCGAATGTAGGACTGCAGGGTCTGCTGCCTGCGAAAGGAAAGCTTTAGAATACAGCCCTGAGCCAAAGTGGAAAGCAAAAAACCCTGATATTGAATATGTGTTCGGGGGATGGCGAGGGGGGCACCCATAGCGGCGGGGGATTCGATTCGAGCCTCTTCCAAACACTGGTCTGCTCGAAAGTTCCGTTGCAGGCGCTCGCCGGAGGGTAGCTGGAGCCGAATCCTGCTCAGCGGGTGTAGGGCTGGTGAGGATTTAAGGAAGCTGGCTGGTTTTGCTCGGGGCAATTAGGGTGGGTTCACACAGGGGTTGGAGGGATGTTCTGATGTGAGGGCGCGTTTTCGGCTTGACAGGCTGCGTTTTGAGTTCGGCCTAAGCAAGGATAGCACGGACATGCACGGACCAGCTGCAGAAACTCCAATAGTGAAGCGAAATGCTTTGCACACATCAAGCACAGTCTGGAACGACAGTCGGACCTCCCAAACCTGCATCTCGATCCAAATACCCCAAGCCCCATCCCTGCCTATAACTATCATCTAGAGCGCTGCAACTCTCAAAGAACAATGAAATGTAGTGTCCTTGCCGTGGGTTCGGCACCCGTGGCCTGCAGGCCGCGGTCCGAGCTTTATAGAAAAATCTTCGTGCTGCGAGGCAACACGAAAAGAGCTCGGACAGAGACGCCACTCGCTCCAAGGATTTGAGGTCCTTTCTGCCATGTGCCATTCCATTTTCGTCACCGCGTACATGGTGTTTGTTGTTCTGCACCTAGCATGCGATAACTTTTGCTGTGGTCGCGCTCCGGTCAGACGGGTGGCCACTGGCTACCTGGTTACCTGTGGCGTTAATGCTCTGCTCAGGTTTTTCCTGGCAGGAGATGCAGCTTTGGAACAGAAGCAAGCGGAAAGCTGCCCCAACAAGGACCGGGGAGCGTAATTCTGTCCCATCTTGTTGCCTCTGAACTCATTCATCCGTTGTGTCAATCATGCATTGAATAAGCAATGGATTCCATCCCTCCATGCACTCCTCAGCTCAATCAAGCACCTATGCAATCATGAATGCACGCTTTCAAGTCATGCCATTCCATTTCATGTCGCTTCATCTCCTTTCAGTCCACTCACTCTCGTCCATAACTTCATGAAATGACAAGTTCATCTGCCATGAGTCGATGATTTCATGAATAAAACATTGGCCCGTTCGTTCACCCAGTCATTCCTTGTTGTATTCGTGCACTCATCTACTCGTTTCTTTCGTGGCATGCGCTGCCGTTCATGAGATGCCATGGCATTTCGCTGCATGCCATGTGTACCAATCCGTTCATGCAACCATTCCTTCCTCCACTCGGCTTCCAACTTATTCATTGGTTCGTTCCTTCATCGAGTCAGCAACTCAGCAATCCAGTATTTTCACAATTCAGCCATTCGATGATTACCGAAAGCATCCAATCATCCGCTTATTTATTCTGCAGGTCAGCCATTCATTCATTCCGTCAGTCAGTCAGTCCCTCGTTCCGTCATTCCGTCGTTCGTTCAATCGTTCATTCGTTTATCCGTGCGTGTTCCTTCGGTCGTTCGTTTCTTCGTTCTTGCATTTCTTCATGCCATGTCATGTCAGGTCATGTCATGCCATGTCATCTTATGCCACGTTATTCATCGACTTGTTGATTCATCGGTTCATTGATTCGTTGCTTCTACTCTGCTGTACGTCTTTCTATCGCCCATCCTTCCAGTCTGTTACGGTTTATTACATCCCATTGCATGGCGCTACATTCGACTTCCTGCCGTTTCATTCGCGTCATTCATCCGTTGATTCGAGGCACAGCCCGCCCCAGGACCAGGAGCAACCACAACAAGTTCAGGTCCGGAGTACAGCTAAAACCGGAGAAGGTAGGTGCAGGGCGAGGGTGTGTGTGTGTGTGTTTTCCTGTGTATATGTAGACATGTGCATGTGCATGTGCATCCATGTTTGAACGTATGTATATTCATATGTATATGTGTGTGTGTATGTGTATGTATGTATGTATGTATGTTTGTATGTGTATATGTACATGCTTATTTTTGTATACATATCCTGCGTGTGGGTACATATACTCATATGCACTTAGACAGTCGGCACATACATGTACATGTAACTATGTATATGTGTCTAACTTAGACACATATACATAGTTACATGTACATGTATGTGTCGAAACTATAACTATACATGCGTATATCTGGATATATATCCAGATCTAAAACACATCTTTAAACCTATAACACAAATTAAATACACATACATATATGTATATACATACATATGATGTGTGTGTGTGTGCATGTATGTGTATCTATGCATGTCTATATGTAGGTCTGTCTGTCTGTCCGCCTGCCTGCCTGCCTGCCTATCTCTGTCTGTCTGTCTGCCTGTTGCATGCATGCATGTACCTGTGTATATGTTTATGTTTACATACACAGATACAGTATGTGTGTATATATATATGTATACATGTATTCATGAATCTCCACATATAAACATATATATATATATATGCACGTAGGATAGACGCAACGTGAGTAATCCAGTAGAAGAAGGAGACTAGGGGTAGGGAGAATACGAATCAAAGCAAAGGAACAGAAGAGTCGCAGCAGGAGGTACAAGCAAGAAGCCAGGAATCACAGAGTAGTAGGAGAGTGGAGTAGATGAGGAGTAGGGGGCGTAACAGAGTGAGGAGTGGAGGATAAGAAATTAAGAACGAAAGATCACTGAAACGGGAGAGAGGAGCATGAGCATGGGAGTAAGTGAGTAGGACTGAATAGGACTATGGAAATGGGAATAGGAATCCGCGAATAGGAGAGTGAGAGTGGTAGAGAGCAGGAGCAGGGTAGTAGGAATTGGAGGATTTGTAGTAGACCTTGAGCTGCACAATCCGAAACCCGATGAGGATCCTGCCGCTACGACACCTCAACCCTGAGCCAGAAATAGCTTAGATTGAATACTATACAACGAAAGACCCGTCAAATAATACATAAAGGTCCTTGCCATATATATATATATATATATATATATGTGTATTTACTTATTAATACATACATACATACATATACATGCATGCATACATACATCAGTATATACACACACACCTATTCATTAGATACTGTATGTGCGTGTGAGTATATGCATTGTGATACTACACTCCGGAACGCTAGATTCTAGACAGTTCCTGTCAAACCCAGCTAACGGCTGCTACAAATCCATAAATGCCTTCTGCACGAAACTCTCAGAGCAGCTCAGCGCTCGGCTGGTTCGGGATTTGTGAGGATCTCTGCACCGCGCTGTTTACGCCGCGCCTGGGCAAAAATGACCGGAGTTGGCACTCAACAGGAGGAGGGGCTTATCGGCTTTCGGGCGGTTTCCTGAGTTACATAAGGCGTGGAGTCTTCGGCCTTCAGCGTGTATCAGGTGGTGGGAGTGTGGCAGATCGGAGTGCAGGAATCGCCGGACTAGTACAGGTCCGTGCTTCTGAGCGTTCCGGGTTCGGGGGAGCGGCTACAATCTATCTTCGGCTTCGGTGTGTAGAGTGGCTTCGGAGTTCGGAGTTATAAGGTTCTTTATAGAGCTTCGGGATGCTTCTGGTTTCGAGCTAGTTCCTACATGCCATTGGTTTTAGGATGCGCACAGCCTCGGGCTCAATTTGCTTCTGGGGTTGATTAGTCCTGGCTGTATTCGTTCTGTTGGGCTCGGTGCTTGAAAGCTGAATCTGCGTGGCGCAAGATTCGCGAGGCTCAATACAGCACGGCTGAGTTAAAAAACAACAACCTCGACCTCGAACCCAGAAAGTCCGAGGAAAAACCCACGTACACGTCTTGAAAGCAAGTAATGCTGGAGAGCAGGTCTGCAGTCCAAACATTTTGTCGTCAATGATTCCATGACTGGTACAAAGACTGCGTCAAGGCTGCCTCTTCCTCAGCCTCTGCAGCTTCTGCAGCGGCCGCAGCCTCTTCAGGCTTAATTCTCGATTCAGAATGAGTTTCAGGATCTGCCTGGGTTTCCGCTCTGCTCCGACCACGACTTTGATGCAATATAGCTTGGTTTTTTAACTTGAAACTTGGGAGTTTCACCGCATGTGTGGTCGCGGGTCTTAAATCCATGCATGAATCCCCAGCTGAAGCACCGATCATGCATAACACGTGCTCAGAATTATCAGACCCACGCTTCCCTACACTGTCGGTCCCCGTAGCTCCCAGCCCCAGCGATGGACTCAGCCCTGTGACACCAATCTGTCGTCCAAGCAGAATATGTAGTCCACGAAAAAAATGCGTGCAAAACATCCTCCAATGGTAACGCAGCCGATGCCCAGCTGTTCCTCGTTGCCATGTAGACACTCCATGTCGAAAACACACACCAAAGACACACATCAGCGGTATCACAGCAAATCGAAGCCATCACGATGTCGCCAGCAGGTGCCTAAGACTAAGATCTGTGGCGCGAATCAAAGCAGCCATTTCCTCTGTAGTCGCTCGATTTCGCAAGCTTGCAGAAGGCTCACGTCGTCGGCATCGCAGCACATCAGCAGAATTACTGCTATACAAGGCGTCCGTCCGAGCAAGTTTGGAGGTATGTAGACTGCACGGCTGGTGACAGCAAAGGAGACCGCGTGTGACGTGAACTCTGTCGACAGCAAGCCCCACGCAATAGCCCGGCCAGGATAGACAACATAACCCAACCCACAGCAACAGACAGAACGAATCCTCGCACAACAACCATGCGAGCTTCTGTCATATCAGCTCAGCAAGAGCAAGCAAACCGCAGCAGTTTCGAGTCGACAGCGAAGACAAAAACCAATTAGGCACTCGATGATGAGACCCTCATGGAGTCATGAGAAATGTGGCAACTAAACTCCCTCGTTGTACCTGACAATGCTACGCCACGCACAAGCTCCCCGGAAAGGGCTCCATAATGAGTGATTCCTCGGCCTCCTGATCAGCTTTCTCTTTCGCCCTGCACTCCGCCTCTCTTGCAGCCTCTGCCTGGCAAGGTGGTACAAGTCAGGTTCGTAAGGTCTGAAAGCGAGGGCTTAATTAAGCTTGAAGTTGCGACGTCCGAACCGGTCCGACAAGGATCGTGCTAGAGTGAAAAAGACATATGTGGCTTTTCTTTCGTGAGTAACGAGGGCCCCGTAATGCTCTTGACTGAGGGGTTTACGGTTCAGCTTTTAAGGAAGGGGTGGATTCAAACTTAGAGATGCGTGCCTATCTGTGTTCAAGTGCAAAAATGTTGCATTTATGGACATATTATACTTATCCACTTAACTGTCAACCTGTATCTAAATGTCTCTATCGATCTATGCAGCTATCTGAAATATCTAGCTATATGAAATATGGCAGTTTGTAAACATCTATACGTGTTTTCATCCTGACAATTGAACACATGTACACCATATCGCCACATCGCTATACCTCCATTTATCTCTAGATCTCTATACATAAACGTATATACACACGTAAAAGGAAACCAGCCTGTGCTGGCTGTGTGAAAGCTTCAAACCGCTTGTTTTACATCTAGCGGAATTTCAAAACTTCTGAAAAGTCGTACAACAAAAATCTCAAAACGCTTTCGTAGTTCCAAGCGTTTTATAAGTTTTACAGGATTTAGCTGATCTAAATCTGTGGTTGTAGATGATGTCTGATCGCTCGGCCAGGTGCCTTGTCGATCTCGCAATATTCCTTGTCTTGTGGCGATGAGCCGAAGACTGCAATGACCCAGCCCTCGTTGAACACGTTGGTTCTGAGCTGGTTGTCGGTGAAGGTGCGGAGGTCCTCGATGGGTTTCATCGTCCACGCCTTCACTTCGCCCTTGATTTGCCTTTGCTGCGCACCGGGCTCTGACTGAAGATCTGAAGGTCCCCGGCTCGATCTCGGTTCTCGGCACATTTTGCGAACTGACACATTTCATGTGTTGGGGGTGGAGTGGAAGATCCTGGCGAAGAACTCAAGAAGGAGGTGTTCCCGATGGCTAGTAGCGACCGTCTGTCTCGAATCGATGCCGAAGCTGGAAGACATTCCTTGCTAAATAGTTATCTCAGCCTTCGGCTTTGCCAAAAGCATCAGCGGTCTAGTGGTAGAATACATCGTTGCCATCGATGTGACCGGGGTCCGATTCCCGGCTGGTGCGTTTTACCTGGAGATCAACGGCTCTGCTGTGTCACAGCTAAGATGTTCGAAATCAGCTGGTCCATCACCGAGCATGAAATCACGCCATAGGGCTCCGCCTCGGCTAGGCGATCTTCTCCTTGGTAGCCTCCCTCGCTCGCTGGCTCACCCATCCAGGCCTCGTACTCATACGGGTCGAAGAACCCCTCGTCGTCCTCGTGCCACATCTCCTGTCCTCACTCCACCAGGTCTCGCCCCAGTAGCTCTGGCTCTCGTTGTCCCAGTCCTCGTGGCCTGTGGAGGAATGCTTGTCGTCCTCGTAACACACAGCTCCAGTGTTCCCGGCCTTGTCGATGCGATGGGACAACCGAGCCGCGAGGCCCCTGATGTCGTGGAACTTGTTGAGGTCGCCATGCACCTGACATCGACCAAGTGCCGTTGCGACAACCCGTTTTGCTTCATCCACAAGTAGCTCTTCGCAACGTTACTCATGCTCAATCGAGCCTTCTCCTTAGCCTCTTCATATCGCAAATCCCATTCGGCCGCGTACCCCTGGAGATCCTGGTTGTGCCGGCGCTTGTGCTCGAAGAACATCTCCAATGCCCGGGTAGTCTGGGTCTCATCGGTCCCCAAAGGCATCCCGAAGAGCGTTGCACAATGCCTGGACACCCGAAGGGATGTGAGCTTGCAGCACCGTCACTCCATGGGCGGGGTCGATGACCTATTCGGTGCTCAGCCTTACCAGCGCTGCCTCGCACACACGTCGCAAGTCCCGTCCGGGCGGATCTTCGTCAGTTCCAAGGCAATCCTTTGCGCTCGCCCTTGGCACCAATGGCCCTATCACTTCATCTGGGCATCTGTGCAGCGATACCAGCAACCTTCAATCTTGAGTGGGTACGACTCCACTCCTGGCCTCCAGCCAGGTGGGGTATCTTTGCGCCGTTCGTCCAGCGGAACATCTCCAGCTGCAGGCTGTGCCATCTTTCTCACACCGAGCCGCGCAGAACTGATCCGAATAATACTCCCTGCGGAGAATCGTGTAGAAGGTCCCGGTCACCTCCTGGCAGTAGAGGGCTCGTTCACCGATGGCCGCCGGCGCGTCGCTGCCACAGTTGGCAGTAGTCGCGCCCTGCAGAGGCCACCGCACAAGGAGAAAAGCAGCCAGATCGCTGCCAAAAACTTGGTCCCCCGAAAGAGTCCGATCGCGGTGCTCGTGGGTCGCAAGGAGTTGTCGATGATCGTGTAGAGGAAGTCGTCGTTGTCGCGGGCCCCAGCACCGCGGTCGTCTCAGGAGACGCGGTCGCCGAAATAATCTGGCACACTCACGCGACTCAAGCCGGCTTCGGTGATTGCGTCTGATCACATGAGGCAAGCATATGATACTGTACAAGTCCAGCAAAACAGTTTGACTTAAATATACATATATATATATATATACACACGTACACAGATGCGTACGTGCGTACCTGCACAAGTGTGCACGGGCGTATGCACATATCTTGAAACGAACAATCAATATACTCATCGGAACTTGGCGATGCAATGCAACGCCTGTCCTCCCTTCATCCCAACCTCCAAGCCTGAGCCGGCGAATCTGCCGCAGGCGATGCTTGAATCTCCTGGCGCCATGTGAACCCTTCTTGTAAACAGCTTCTGTTCCTCATGTTGGAAAGGATTGTACGCACTGCATTGCACCGTGAAGGCATGATACCACACCCGCGAGAGATGAGGGGTCCGTTCCAGAACATACACACTTCAGGGTCTTGATTGGCTTCTTACTTGTAGCTTTGAGAGCTCCTGGACTCAGCAGTCACTCCATAACAAAAACTAGCTTTGCAAAGTTTTGCAGTTCAGCCTCACTCTTCAATGGAAGTTGCCTTCTGTCTCGCTTGGAGGCATATGCCCTGTCCACGGCTCCATAGCTTCCGGCTTTTGAGCTCATGAGGCTTGCCAGCATGAAGGTCCAAGCTCATGTTTCCAGCTTTGACAAAGCAGACAGATATTTGCAAGTTAAGTGCGCAAGACCTCCCAACGCCCGAGCCCCGAACCCGCGACACTCCACATGAATCCACATGGAAGCTCACCTAAAGCTCAACTTCCCGCCTCACCCTCGACGCGACGTACCGCTGCGAGCTGGTCTTGAAGTAGCGCCTCTTCGTATTCACGGTCCTGGCGTTTGTGCTAGCTCATCATGCCGGAGGATTCGAATATGAAGGTTAGTGAGCGGTTGGCGCTAGGAAGAAAATTCAGGACCCTATATCTAGATCTATATCTATATACTGGTATGTACATCTCAGCACGCACAACATCCCAGAGTCTCTCCAGCCTGCTGCTCACGCAGCTGCCGGGCTTCTGTCAGCTGAGCCGTTCGCCGGTTCCGATGCTCCTCATGCCAACACCATGCCAATGTATGAAATATCCGGTTGCAGTCGTGTGGTGGGATGTGAACTCGTTGGCTGCTGCCGGGAGTGCTTCTCGTGAAACATGACGAAGAGGTCTTTGCATCGTATAGTGTTTCTCGTGATATCTTGATTGACATCAAGCATCTTCCGAGACCAAACCTTGACATCCGATTGCGAATCGGTTCTGGAACTGTCAGAGAATGAACTGAACCAAGACCCCAGCGAGATTCCAGGCTCAGCTACTAAGAGTGTGCCGTGGAGTTCCTAGCTTCTCATAGCAGGGGACCTGAACACGCCATGCCTACATCAGCCTCCAAAAGTCGGGGACAGCGTCCTTACCGAATCCTCCACTGTGGAAGCAAAACGATCAGCACAGACTGCAGCATCTACTCACATCCCATAACCATAACCTTGTTGCACTTCACACCTGGAGTCGAAAGCCTGCCACACCTATTATCAGTTCGACACGAAGACTGTCACCCAACGTACCCACAATGACCTCCTCCTCTTCAGGGCGCATCATACAGTTGACATCGCTAGATCAGCCCGCACCATCACGGCGTGGCAAATGATTGGCCGGGAGGCGTATCACACATGCAGGTGCTATTCGCACAAGTCCCAGGCCAAAATCAAGACTCTTGAACCTGCTACCCAGGTCGGGTGTCCTGCTCCATCTGCACCTCGTCCTGAAAGTCCTTCAGCCATGAAGCCATCAACACTCGGTTGGGCTCAGGTATAGGCGGTAGCTTTACCCACCCCCCCTGGTCGCCACCAACCCGTGCCACATCTAGAACGTCCTGAAACACGAAGCCTTTCTGTTTTATCCTGGACTCGGGATTGCAAACATCTTACCTGGCTCAAGCTCTTCTCACAAAAATGTATTCCAAATATCATTAATTTGCGTGCACTGACGGGTGCATGTGCATGTACGTACGCATGTAGATATGTAGGTTATAAGTTTGTATGTGCATATACTGAGTTATGTGATATTACACGATATTACGTTATGTATATATATATATATGTATTACAATTAATATATTACATTACATTACATTATTTACATTACGTTTATTGAATTGTGACACACCTATATCTATCTATCTGTCTATGTATAGTTATATATATATATATAGATTGTATTGCGAAATACATATGATATTGTGATAGACTAACTTATGTTATAATATATTGTGTTATTCTATACTACAGTCTGTTACATATTATTCAGTTGTAAGATGTTATACATCTGTGTGGGTGTGGGTGTCAGGGTAGTGGGGGTTGGGGTGGGGGTGAGGCTGGTGGGCGTAGGTGTGGGATGGTGTGGGTGTGGGGGTGGTGGGGGCGGGGGTGAGGGTGGTGGGCGTAGGTGTGGGTGTTGCTGCGGGTGGGGGTGTGTCAGTGCGTGTGTGTGTGTGTGTGTGTGCACGAGCTGAAGCGGGAGCTGTGAATATATTGAAACTATAAGACTATAACGCTTACACCAGCAGAGCATCTGTGCAGAACTGAAAAAGAGCGTTTGCTTGACAGCGCAGAGAGCGACATCCGCGTGTCCGATGCAACCTTCGACCCGGAGCACCTGCGAGGTGGTCGTGATGGTCGCGATGGCCTGGCCATGTGAATCAAACTAGATATCGGCTTGTACGCAAAGCGGCGTGGCCGTGTATCGAACACATTTTTCATGGCCTTCACCTTGCCCCTACTGGGCAGCTGGCCAAGTGCATGAGTCGCACTTATGCTCTATAGTGTTAATTTGCCTCGCCCGAGAAGGTGCAAGCAGGTGGGTGAGTCTGCACGGATGCCGCAGGATCGAATTAAACAAAATGATAAGTATCTTAGGTGGTTGCATAGCTCATGTATACTGTGCACGCGGTGATACACAGACTACATGGCAGGCCGAGCACGCGAGAGCCCATAACAGTTCGCCGCTGTACCAAGTCGATGTCTGGAGGAGCTCCTTCCTGCTCGGGCCTGCGGTGTGGTAGACGTCAAGTGGGACGGTCACTTAATTGGACACAGCCTATGAAAAGCCTCCACGATTAAGAACAAACCTAGACCGCCAGAGACTAAAACCATCTCCGACTCTTCAAGCAAAAGCCCGGCTTAGCACGGAAGGATGCCGTTGACAAGACAGTGCAAGACTCGCTCAAAGGCTTCGAGACCCAGCACTTCGCTCCTATAGGCATCCTCACTTGATGTGTACCTCCCGCTCGATTGGTTTTGCGAATTGCTTCTTGCTTGTGGGAAGCGCTATGTTGAGTGAGGCTTGTGACCTAGCTTTGAGCGACTCTGTTGAGTTTCTGAACACCACTAGATGCCATCAACCTGGAACACAAACGCTCTGAGCAAAGCCCGCGCGAAAGCTGCAGGCAGCGGTCATCGAGGCAGACCCCAGAACAACTGATCGTCATGACTCGTTCTGCAAGGTCCGGACTTAGTAAAGCTTGAAGCATACTTGTTTGCATGCTTGTACTAGCAGGCTGCGTGAAGTCGAGGGTTGGGAGTGAGAGCCAATGCGTCTAAACTGATTTTTCACATGGTGTGGTGCATGACCAACGGCCCAAAACGAATGGGGCCCGCGCCGTCTTGTGTGGCAGTTACTGTAACGCAGGTTGACTTTGTGTGATCTGTGCTCTTCATGAACGTAACTGATGCATGTGTTCCTCGCTTCGCCAAAATAATAAATTAAGCTAGCTAGCATACACTCACCAAAATTCCTCAGGCACCTGGTAGATGCACCAAAACACCAATATAAAGCCTATACTTGACATGCTCAGGCTGCGACAGGCACCGGTGCAGTGGTTGGCAGAAGGTTCCCAAGGGCCATTCGACGCACAGACTCGGTCGGCAAACGAGCGTTCTTTGACACCCCGCCAACACGCTCGTAGACACTGGCATGAATTCGGCCTGACAACTCTAATACTGGTGTTCTGTAAGAAACAGATGAAACAGAGTTGTCAAAGCGGCCGATCGAAGGCACGGACGGATCTGCCCTGCCCTTGCCAGCTGCCTAAATCTGAAGCGAACACGTGCGCCAGTCTACCGTCGACACTCCCGCGTCACGCTTAGAGGCCTGAAGACCTGAACTTGACAGTTTCAGACAGGTGGTTATACTAGGTGTGGATGGACCCCGGAGACCGCACAACCAAAGCGTCCATACCTAAGCACGAGATGCTCGAACTACAAGGAAGGAACGAACCCCTGCAAAATCAGTGCGAAGGAAAGCCACACTCATAC